ATGTCCATACACATGAAAAGGTCTTCTCCTCGTCTATAGCAATGCAAACATAAGGCACAGTTACATCTTTCAAATCACCAGATGATTTCAAATCACCAAATGATACACCACAGTGGGCAAACTTACCATTTTTGGAAAACAACTGAAAAGCTGAGCTAGCAAATTATCTGGAAACAGCCAGCTGTTTGCTCCAACAAGCTATAAAACCTTACCACAGAGCTCTGCACACAGTGGTGTAGGCCTATACTGCCAGGTAGGAGACAAAGGGCAGAAGATCAAGGCAGGCCTGCTTTGGTCTTAAACAATTTTAAATAAATCTACGGCCCCTCCCCCTCCAGACGGGGTTTTTTTGTGTAAAAGCTCTGGCTGTCCTAGAACTCAAGAGAGCTCTGGGATTAAAGGTGTGCAGTACCACTGCTGGCTAAATCTGGTTTCTTTTATTTTTATTTTTTTGGAGCTGAGGACCGAACCCAGGGCCCTGTGCTTGCTAGGCAAGCGCTCTACCACTGAGCTAAATCCCCAACCCCTAAATCTAGTTTCTTAAATAGGGGAGAGAAAAACAAACCACACTGACGCTAAAGGAAGCCAACACACATTTGGAAAACAGGAACCAGTGTAAACCGAAACAGACCTGGGCTGGATCTTTGATTATTTATGCCAATTATGACTGTTTTCAAGGGACAGTAAAAAGTTCTCTGCTAATACCTGTATTAATGCCTACTACATCATGACAGCATCTTTTAACAGTTAGCATTCCCTCAAGTTTATACTTTTCCAACATAGATAAACACCTGTGAAATATCCTTTCCTAAACAAGTCCCTTTCACACAGTCCCCGTAACCCACCTCCAAGTCAAATTTGGAAATCTTGTGCTTCAAGATACAAGTTCAGTACAGCAGACTTGAACATGTATATATACTTAACAGAGCCTCAATTTTAGTTTCTTATTGAGATAGTGTGGGTTATTTACACATAAGACAACTAAACTCAGCATGAACCAAGGATAGGAAATTGGTGAAGGGCATTACTTTGAATCGACTGCAGAGACTGAAGAGGTGGGGGAGGCAGCAAGGCTTTCTCTATGGCTTTCTCCAGCTGTCTGCTATTTACACTCAGAAAACATCTAGTCAACAATTTAGTTTTAAGACAAAAAGCTAAAATCTTGATTCTACTTCCAGCCATTTAGAACTGTAGAGGTAATGCGCTTCTATAGGACACACTGCAGCTGTCACACATACCTATGTTATTTATTCTGTGTTCTAAGAGAAAATGAAAGCTCACTTAAACTAGAACTCAACAAGCATGCAAGAAGACAGTGTGAGAGAGTGATTAAGTCTTACCGTGTAAAAACAGCATGGTCCTTCTGGTCTAACACAATGATAATATCCCCTGGCTCCAGTCCTGGTTCTTGGTCTCCTTCACCATGGAATGTTATCTTCTGACCATCTTTCATACCTAAACACAGAATGATTCTGTACTTTTACTGATATCAGACACGAAGGTCAAGATCATAAAATCTATTAAAACACAAGTGTGGTCTGGGGATGTAATTCAGTGGTACAACATATGCTGAGGCCTTGGGTTCAATCCTCAATACAATTCTTACAAGGTGTCCTTCTGACCTCTACATGTAGGCCAGCATATGCATGCACATAGTTTTGTTTTGCTTTGTTTTAAAGCATCAAGTCTTTGTGGATGGCAAATACTACAGAAATGACTTAATCCAGTCCAGCTGGTACTGAAGCAGGCTATTAAACAGTAGGTGATACAACTCTCTACAAAGAATCAAGTTTCTAATCTCAGGAAAAACACCTACTTAGTTGCATATCCATCCTAAATCTCAACTTTCCCAAAGAGACATTTCATTCAAGCAACTGAGGATTAAAAATGCCCATGCTGGAACCAAACTGGCACCTAGCAAACACTATAACCACTAACTGTTAATTATTTCTATTGTATAATAATCTGTAGTCACTACCATTAAAGTGAGCAGCAGTGTCAACTGCCTTTTTTGTTGGACCACCAGTATTTCTAGTAAGAAAACTACTAGGCTTACTTAAAAATCCACAATTGAGTACTCATCCCTCAAAGCCTCGCTCAGTTCTCATTTTCCCTCTATGTTCTTTCTGCTCAAAAACTACAATAAAAACTCATCATCTTTTGCAATAGGTAGACAATTTTTTGTGGTAGACAATTACCCAGTACATGCAAAGGCCCTGGGTTTGGTTTCTATTAGCCTGGACTCATTAAAAACAAAAAGGTGCTGGCCAGGTGGTGTCAGCTGTAATCTCAGTGCACAGGAGGCAGAGGCAGGCAGATCTTTGAGTTCAAGGTCAGCCTGGTCTACAGAGTGAGTTCTAGGACAGCCAGTCTTGAAAATCCAAATGGCTGCTTTTTATTATTGGATACTATCTTAGCCCATGCAGCCTATATGCAAAATACTGAGTGTTTTTCAATAGAGCAAATGTTTTTTAAAGGTATGGATTTGCTGAGATTCCTACCTGTGTCTAACTCAGGCCCACACACTTTAGTTTAATAAAGTTCTAGCCTTTTGTGGTGTGTTGTACCCATGTGTACTTGTTCATGGAGGCCAGAAGAGAAGTCAGGCCTCCTCCTGTCTCACTGAACCTGGAGATAGCTGGGCCCAAAGCCCCAGTGATGCTGTCTCGACCCCTAGACCTCCAGGGCTGGAGTATACAGACTAGCATATGGCCATACCTAGCATTTCCCCCTTTGGTGCTGAGAATCTGAGCTCAGGTCCTCATGCTTATACAATCAGTGTTATCTGCTGAGCCCAGGGCCCACATTTGGGGGGCAGGCTTATGATCCCAGCACTGCTGAGGCACAAGTAGTCTGGGCTACATACTGAAACCCTGTTGAAAACTGTTAAAAACTTAAAACAGTGGCTGGGCAGATATCATGGTCTATGCTGTGGCCTGAAGCTGTAGATGTATGTACATGATCCCAGCTGCTTTGGAGGGCCTTATCTGGGTCCATTGCCCTACTGCAACCAGGAGCCCTGTTCATGGTCTGTGCTGACACCAGAAAACATGTGGAAGCCCATGATCCACTCCTAAAGACCGAAAAGAGCAAATAAGCTATGTTGGTAGTGATAGCAATGATTGCAGATGCAGTTGAGAAAGAGGGACATGGAAGACTTCTGTGACAACCTCTTATCACCCCGTCCCCCAAATAGTAACAGCCTTAACAAGAAGCCATTGAAAAGAAATCTTAAAAACTGTGATAGGATGCTGAAATGTCACTCTCCATAATAGATGGCTTCCAGCAGAGGTGCAAGAACTAGGTTCCATTGATAAAAATATGTTGGGGGGGGGGGGACCACTTAAAAACCACCTTTTTTGTTCTTGTTTTTGAAGACAGGGCTCTCTGTGTAGTGTTGACTGTCCTGGAACTCGCTCTGTAGCCCAGGCTGGCCTGAACTTAGACCTGTCTGCCCCTGCTTCCTGAGTGCTGGGATTAAAGGCATGTGCCACCACTGCCCGGCCCCCAAACCATTTTTACTGTACTCTTAACTCGAATGAGAATTAACTGTACTACCCCCACCTGTAATCCCAACAGTTGGGAGGTGGAGGCAGGAGGACCAAGAGTTCATGGTCACCCTTAGCTACACAAGTCCCATCCTATCTCAAAATAAAGAAACAAGTTATTCAGTCAAAGGACAGGGTTTGAGGCCAGCCTCTGCAACGCAGAAAACATCCCCATCCCACTAAGAGAAAGACATTTTTATTAAGCTGAAGAACCAATTAAAAAAAGGAATGATATTCACACATCCTCTTTAAAGATGTGTTATACTGGACTGTAACCCCCGCACATGTAAGAAGCTTATTCTTCACCTCACACACATTGTTTGTTCTTCCTTAATTCCTAAGAATGTACACAGCATAATTCTTTGAGACAGAATAATTACACTTCAAAGAACTGATTTTGGATAAAATGTTCTGTAATTATTGCCACTTAGCCAGAAAGACTACTCTTACACACTAAGACACGTAGGATCATTCATCTAATCTAAAGATAGTTTTAAAAATAATCGTAAGTGAGGGACAGGTTCCTAAGACCACACACTCTCTAGAATTATTGGCAGTTGATGTTTACTGGAGGGAGTCTGTTTCTTTGACGGTGTAGCCACTGACAAACTGCCTCTGTTCCAGTAAATGTATAATCCCCACTTCTGCTCATGCAAGTGCTCCTAACCTATTTAAACTCATGCATCACAACCAACCCTACCACAAGATGATGAAAACTGATGGGAAGGGCTACAGAAGATAATGAGGGATGGGGTGAAAATTACCAAAACTCATTATACACCATGAACAAAACTGTCAGAATAAACACATGAATCAGAACTCACCTTTATCAATATGAACTTCTAAAATCTTCTTCTCTCGAACGATCTTTCTTCCATTGCAGCTTTTACACCTGTCTTTAGGACTGATGCGTTCTCCATGACCCTGGCACTCCATGCACACCGACTGAATCTGCTGAACAATTCCTAGTCCAATCTGATGAATCCTGATTTGCATACCAGTCCCCCGACAGTTGGGACAGCACTCTACTGCTCCTTTCTTACCACCTCGGCCTAGAGTTTCAAAAGAAACTTATGTATGAACTTAGCAGCAGACAGAATCTAACCCCTCAGTATTTTCGAGGCCTTGTGGACTGCTGTCCTAAAATGTACAAATTCAGACTCTAAAAGGAGCCATTTCAAAATCATGAGTTTTCTAAAATATTTTCTTTGGAAGTTTGAGAGGAAAAGAAACAAAAACAAGGTAGGCAAGCTGCAAATCTCAGCAGCTGCCATGAGGGCGAGAAGTCTTGCCTTTTGAAATGGTTCAACAATGAAGGTCAGCAAGCAATTGTGTGTGTGGAGAGGGGGGGTGAGGGCATGACAATTTCTAGACACGAACATGCCCAGGAGTGTCAGAGCATGTATTCTTAGGATTTTGGTAGAAACAAAGGGGTGGGAAGGGGAGAAGATATAGGAAGGGAAGGCAGGGCCTAATGAGATGACTCTGGCTGCTCTTCCGGAGGACCTGGGTTTGATCCCCAGAATCAACATGGTGGCTCACAACCCTCTTTAAGTCTAGTTCCAGGGGATATGATGCCTTCTTCTGGCCTCCATAGGTACTGCATGAAGCAGTACAAGAGAGATAACACAGGTAAGGTAAGGGATGGGGGTGGGGTGGGGTGTATCATGCCTTTCCAGTTAGAGCTCAAAGTAGGCAGGTCTAACAGTGAAGATACCTGCCTGCAAGCAATTGCAGAATTTCACTTTCTTGAGAACACTTTAAAGGAGCAGTGAGCCAGGAAGTAACTCCAAGACTGCCTGCACCACAATCTTAAGTTAATGTGTTCCTACATCACATTTTTTTCCCCTTGAGACAAGGGTTTGCTGGCCTCACCAAGCCTGACCAACCCCAGTTTGATCTTTTAATGCCTGCATGGTTGAAGAAGAAAACCGATTACAAATTGTCTTCTCATCTCCCACATGGACAACACAGCATGCACAAACATATACAAAGTGTGTTTAAAAAAAAAAAAAGTGCTACTTAGGATCTATACAAGATTGGGCCCATCAACATTTTTTTTTTCTTTGAGACAGGGTTTCTCTGTGTAGCTTTGTGTCTTTCCTGGAACTTGCTTTGTAGCCCAGGCTGGCCTTGAACTCACAGAGATCCGCCTGCCTCTATCAATATCTTATAATAAAGGGAGGAGCTGATGTCAAGACCTCACCCCTGGAGAGACATTTTCTTCTGTAACATAGCCACTGACTAAGGTGCCTGTCCTTTGTCAACATTCCCTCACCCATAGTCCTGTAAGCGACTCTAAGAGGACTCACTGGGCCATCAAAACAAAGGCATACAGAAGAGTACACTAAGGAATAGGAGGGGTTCAGTGGATGTCGAACAGGAGAGCATCAAACTGTCACAACAAAGCCATTATGAGTTCTTGGTGGAAGGCTCAGGTGCTTTTAATGTAGCATCAGTTTTGTCTATCCAAAGTTAGGCATGGGTAATCCCATGTCTCATGGCTGAGACAGAAGACACAAGTCCAAGGCCAGCCTAATGACCTGTAATACCTTATCTCAGAAACTATTTAACAACCCACCGGCAAGAACCCTTCCTTACCTTCACATTTGTCACAAATCACATTCTTCTGAAGAGCCAGTTTTCTTGTTGCACCATTATACAAGTCTTCCAAGGTCACTGAGAGCTGGTGCACAACGTTTTTACCTGCAACGAGACACTGCTCATTAAAAACCTGTGTGTAATGTCTGTTGAAGACACTGTAAAAACGAAAAAGGATAATCAAAGACCAGCCTCATCCTGTGTATCTGTTGAGTTATACCCACATACAACATTCACCCAATATTTGATTCTCAAACTGATCTAATCCTAAGAGGCCCTCTTTGAAATGCAACAATTACTACTACCTTAAAAGTCACTCAATGTTCAGGCACATTTCACAATAATTCAAAGCACATATCCCTTTGAAGGTTTCACTTATTAGGCATTAAGCAACATGGCCAGTTACTTCATCCAAACAGTAAATTCTTTCTAATCAAGATTGGCTGGAGACTGAAACAGCAATTCCTACTTCTGTTTCAATAGTTTTTACTGCCAGGCTATCACTGGTTGTTTCAAATGATAAATTTCTTATGCCCATTGTAATAGAACAGAACTTTCTGTAACAATGGACACATTTTATGTGTTCAATATAGCAACTACTAGTCACAATCACTGGACACAATTTTAAGTGTGTTGGCTACCTCAGCTGCAGAGAATTTTTCCCCATCTTAAATTAATCTCAATTTAAAGATCCACATCTGGCTAGTGACTACAAAGGAATGTCACGTATAATTTACCTACTGCAATGGGAAGTAGGTGGTTGAGGTCACATAAGGACAACCAGGCTATGGAAATAAAACCACTCATCTATGGTTAATAAGTTCCTAGCTAGTGATCCTTCCACTAGGACTTTACCCACACAAGACAGCACTGAGTGGTTGGTTAACTGAACAGCTTCAATCCTTTCTGAACATCACACCTAAAGGAACATTTACTTTTTTTGGTTTTGTTTGTTTATTTGTTTATTTATTTATTTTTAATTTTCCAGAGCTGAGGACTGAACCCAGGGCCTTGCGCTTGCTAGGCATGGAGTGTTCTACCACTGAGCTAAATCCCCAACCCCGAAACATTTACTCTTAAACAAGGTGTTAAGCGTTATCACATCCTTCTGTTTCTAGCTTCACTTTGGGTTTCCATCAGCTAAAGAGAACATGTGAGTAGGCTATCTAAACTTTGTATACAGAGCACCAGAAAAGAAAAACAAAGCTTCTGGAAACTGACCAAGTACACTTTCCAAAGCAGCAGCAAGCCAAGAAGGCTAGTGGGAACTTTTCAGGAGCCCATACCATCCTATGGCTAACAACACAAGGTGAGTGTGATATACACATTTTCTTTCATTTTAATTTGTGTGCATACATATGTGAAAGCCCAGAGGCCAGAAGAGGTTATCAGATCCCCTGGAGCTGGAGCTACAGGCAGTAGGGAGCCACTGGATGTAGGTGTTGGGAAAGGAAACCTGGATTTTCTGCAAACAACACACGTGTTCTTAACCACTGAGCCATTTCTCAGGGCCACAGCTGAAAAACACAGTCAACAATTTCTCTAAGTCTTCCTAAACCTTTAAAAGGGCAAAGTAAAATTAAATGGCCTACCAATCTGTTCTAGAACTGTGTGCAAACTATATTGAGAATGAAGTACTATTCTGACCTCCAATACTATCTTCCCAAGAAGTCTGTCCAGCCCACGGACAACTTTTTTTTTTTTTTTTTTTGTCATCTTTAACTGAAAAAGGCCACTGCACTTAACACTGTGTTCTAGGGGCAAGGACCCAAGACATGTAAGTGCTTAGAAGCCCAAGTTACTACGCTTTGTTACCTTACTGTCTGGGAATCTGTGGAGATGGATATACCCACTAGATTGGCTTAGCTATTTTGAGTACACAAAAATCTCAATTATAAATGACACCAGAAATCAGAGGCAGTTCATGGACAGAGTTTAACATTATACCAACATGTAAACAAGCACTTAATGTAAATTCTCAGTCTTTCATCAGCAGTACTTCGTTCTGCTGCAGGTAAGCTAGATTTTTCTTACCTCTCCTTTCTCTTTGCATCCTTCCTCCTCCTCCAAAGAACATATCAAAGATATCCATGGGCGAGCCAAAACCACCACCTGCTCCGCCCTCTTTAATAGCCTGTTCGCCTCCTTTATCATATAATTCCCTTTTTTTGGAATCAGCAAGAACTTCATAAGCTTGAGAAATCTGTTTAAACTGTTTCAGAAAAAGAAATCCCATTAGAAAAAAGTGTCACAAAGCACAGCCACTGTATTAGGACGACCTTGACTTTCAGGCACCATCAGAAATATACACACGGCAACACTGCTGAGCTGTCTGAGAATGTACTTGCCTTTTCGCCTTCATTTGGATTCTTATCAGGGTGGTACTTCAAGGCCAATTTTCTGTATGCCTTTTTCAGTTCTTCCTGGGTGGCATTGGGTTTGACCCCCAAAACATCATAGTAAGTGGTTTCTTTCACCATTTTTCACAGCCTGAAATCAGAAAAACGGGTGTTTTAAATTAGCTTTTAATTTTGTTCAGAAGATCACCAGCCTCTCTGCTTTCTGCGCTCTGGGTCAAAGGTGTGCGCCACCAAGGCTGGCTTTTAATTACCACAACTAAAGCAATCTGTTCTTTGCTGTATGAAGAACACAGCCTTCCCTAACTTCTTATAAGCTAGCAATCCTTGATAGGATTCGGCTGCAAACTCGAACAGACTAAATATAAACATAAATTTCGGGGAATTCGGAAGCCTTTCTAGCAGCTGGTTCCTACTCTCCCGCACTAACACATGTGTAAGCGGGCTTCTTCCGGTTTCCTTTCCCCCAGAGGTTGTGCGCGTAGCCCAAAGCAGCGCGGACGGTCCTGTCCACTGGTTAGCACACTACCACGGCCTTTGTACATCTGATAAGGCCATACACTCGCCGGAAAGAGACTGGACTCCCGGGGCCGGAGGAGTGGCTTGGGAGCCCAGCTGCGGGGAGCAGGTGCCCCGGCCCCGCCGCCGCCATCCTGCTCCTGCTCGCAGCTCACCCACTTTCGTCCCCCAGGCCCGCCGAGCGGACTCGCCCTCTGGGTTTCCCCGGCACCTGGCGCCGACCGTTAAAGGTTTCCTTCCTTTCTCCCTCCCACCCAGATCGAACAGGCGGCGGGGGAAGGCCGGACCTCAACAAAGCGAGGGAGGAGAGCCAGGACAAGCACAAGCCGCTGCAGCCTCCGCCCGGCTCCTCCCGCAGCCCCTCACCCCTGCCTCGGTCC